ACAATAGCTTCCTTGAAGTTTTATGCATTTATTTTGGCTATTTGAGGTGTATTTACCCTATTTCGTTTACTGTGATGAGGAGCTATAATGGTGCAATGTGTAATCTCGATACATTAACCACTACGCCACATTGCCACTAATGACTTTTTGGCACAGGGTAGATGTGAATTTCAAGGAAATGTATTTATCCTGAAATGTTATCCGGTGCCACACTAAAGGAATGAAATACACTCTTGTAAATTAATAGCTTATCTTCCTTAGAAATGATCCCACATTAGGCATGAATACGACTCGATTGAGGTCTTGCATCAGAACTGCTTTTTCACCAGAATTCGGTATTATTCCAACTCTGCCCTCTCACATCTCGCCTAATTCCATCAATAAAATCAGATATAGAAGTTGGCCTACCTCGTTTTCGCAACTTGATCTTGTTGTCACGGCGACTTAGTTGGACGCACCTCTGCCATAGGTGTCATAATTCCCAGCATCAGATCGTGGACTTGGTACATTCTCAGCTTCAAGCTACAATTCGTCAAAGAGACAAATGATGTCAATCCCTTGGCCAACCTTCTGCCGAAACGGTTGTCCTGGCCTATCTATCTACTCCTTGCCCTCGTATGTTTTCTTGAGCATACTCCCACTTCAAGTGAAAGTGTTTGGTACAGAGATTCGTAGGTCGATCTGATTGGAAGACGACTGCCGATTCCTTTTGACCAGCTGTTGATTGGCTTTACTGAAGGGTTCCTGTTGGTGCTATGAGGATAATAAGATTGCCTCGAAATCAGCGTCGTCTTCTGGTGAAATCAATCTCCTCATCTCTTTACTTTCATCAGAAATGGAAGTGAGCTCAACCGACGGTGAGACAAGAAATTCCTCGAAACCCAACTGTTTTTCACATCACCTAGTTGTCGAAATTTGTTTGTGCTATCAGAGCGACCTCGGCGAACTTACCTTGTCCGGTATCCTGTGTCATTGTGTTTATGCTAATTTCATTGTGGCACATTTCCAGACATTCCGTCGGTATCGTCGTTCGGCCGTGCCACATAGAGCCAAGCTACAATGCGTAAGAGGCAAGTGAAGTCCTGTCCTTGACCAACTTCCCCACCAAACGGCTGTGGTATACCTTCCTTTGTACATTCTCATCTCCCTTAGCCCATTATCTTGCTCCCCTAAACTCTTATCTTTACCACTCTGAGCTACTCCAGAGGTGCGCCCTCTTTTGAGCGGAATTAGTGGGGTCTTATTGTATTTCCTATCGGCTTCTTCTCCCACTAGTTGTGCATGGGACTCACTAATCCGGCTTGACCCGTTTTAGCTGCAAACTCTCGGATTACGTCTTCTGCCCTCGATACTCCTTTTCTTATCTCTCCGGTTTCTCTATACCCAAGAACTATCTCAAGAGTTCGATAAAACGTATAATGTAGCATCAACACATTTACTCTCAAGCTTGCAGATATCACCCTAACTCGATAGATCAAAAGTAACGCTATTTTTTAATCCCCATGTCAATCTATTTTACACAAGCTTGCTCCGCCGACGACCACCACAATCCAGCTAGTGTACCTTGAGTAAGAAGAACTTGTATTTTTTCTCTTCACTGCCACCTTCTAATGGATTACCAGCCGGACTGGGTTTGCTCCTTTATTGAGTTATGATGGAAAATTTTAGTGATTCTTCTGCTCTCCTATTCTCTATTCCCTGGTGCGCCAATCTCCCAAATATGCTGACTGTTTCTTCGACTTGACCTCCGACTGCAAACTTCTCGTGCCCTCAAATTGTCCTTCGCTAGCCTCTTGTGAGATCCTTGCCTTGATCGAGTCGTCTCCTCATTGCTGATATTGCTGATTTTTGGTTGTCTCCGGGTTCGCTCTGACAATAAGCGAAGATTTCGTTAATTATGCCTTCTAATCTTTTTTCCATTAGATTTCTCTCAGCTAGGATAGCAAGGACTTTTCTCATATTTCGTTTTCTTGTATGCTCACCGGTATTTCCCTTGCCTTTCAGTCGATCTCGTCTCATTTATCCGCAATGTGTACTGCTGTTTATAATCCATCCGTATTGTTGTTTCGGCAGTCCGATCTTCTGCTTCTTATGCGGATTTTTCTTTTCCTTACTGCAATATGCTTCTGTTTGTAGTCAGTGTATATTACGCAAAAAACTTCCCAGCACTTCAGTTTTCCTACCTAATGTTGCGTGTGTAAGTTTATGAAAAGTATTCACATACCTTTTTTTTAATTTTCTATACTAATGGTCTTAGTTTTAACGTAGACCACATGTGAGTAAATGTATCCAATTCTGGGTGTATTTCTCACTTATTTTTTTTCTTAATCCCTATCTTGCCTTTGGTATTTTACTAACTGTGTATTTGTGGGAATTTTATGGAGAATCATCTGATTCGATTTGTTCACTCATTCCACTCGGAATTCCATGTCTTTTAGTTTTATGCAGAAAGTTGGTCAAGGGACGGATTTTTCTTTCTTTCGAGGTGTGGTAACCTGGTGCTAAGAATGCTAAGGCTCGCTGACGATAACACATACCTTTCTCTGAATGTACTTTGTCCACGGTCTGATGTTCTCCGAAGTCTCCATGATCATGTAATCAAGTTGTGAAAGGAGCTGTACTACATTAGTCTTCATACCTACACTCCAGAATTAAAGCTATTACTTTTCGTCCTAACATTGTTTTTGCTACCTCTCTAATTATAAATTTCCTTATTTTGTCAACTTAGTGTTCAAAAAAATTTCCACGTCATGATACCTCAGTCGATACTCATTTGCACACTGTTAAAATATTTGTAAAAAAACAGTGATTGGTCTGTACCCTTCAAGTTTATTCGTTGATTGTGTTAAAGTGTTATTAATGTCCACAAGAGTCTCGAACCTTGAGTAAGAGCTTTGGGATCGAACCATTTTATTTTTTGTGAAAATATCTGTTGAATGAATTCGTGAATTAGTTTCACTTGCAATGGAAAGAAGAATCTTATACAGTTGTGATTGTTGATTACAGCGACAAAATCCTTGATGCATCGTCCTGTGACACCGATTACTACATGTTAATCTCTTATCTACTCTTTTGTTATGTATCTCCAGAGTCGGAATAAGTTTTATGAGAAAATTCCTCCAAAAATAAGCTTAGCATGGAGGTCAACTGCAAGATTACTTACTTCCCAAAATCAGGCTTTACCTTTTCATTAGACGTTAGGCGATTTGTTTTAGTACTTCATGCCTCTACACATGCTTGCAGATTTGTGAATTTGATGCTCAATATCCAGTTCCTATCTGTCACTGCTCTGCCATGCAGTTACGCCGGTGTTATATGCAAATCAAATTAGCAAATGATAGGCATGAGGCAAAACCAGACGAGACTGATGAGGCCTCATTCGAGTGAATTTTCCTGCTATCTCTCTTTAGTTCCTCGGTTCTTTTCCTACACTCGTTTCCTGATTGTTTTGTAAATTTACATTTGTGCTCTACTCTAGCTCTTAATTCTCTATATTCAGCAAAAGATTGCGTTTTCAATGAAGTGGGTGGGATTGTGGCTGCCCATTATTCCTGGCCTAACCTTCGGTGAAGTTTACTGAAGACTTATAGAAGTGGGTTGATCTCGTTTTTGCAACTTGGTCTTCATATCATCTATTTTACTCAAAACTGTTTCCTAATTTGACCACCGAAAGTCATGCAAGAGGTTGAATGACGACGTTCCAAAGACTTATTTGCTCAAATCTTCAATGCTAAATCCAGTGCAATCTTCCCTCAGTCGCCGATCTGGCATCGCCACGAATCCCTTTAACTAACTTTTGCACAAGATGTTTAGGATTAAACAGACATGAACCTATTGAAAGATCCTACGCCACCCAGCATACTATGACAATATTTTTTGTTTAAATTTCGAATAGCCTTTAATGAAGAAAGCTTTGTTTGTTTTTCGTTGTTTAACTGTACCTTTTGAGGCTCTCACAAAGAAGTCAGTCGATTAGTCAACAGAACGATTTAGTCTAAACAAAAGCCGTAGTCCATCTCAATTAGCCGTGTCCATGTTTATCATTGATTCATTCCCTCGACATGCGATCAGGCATACCTCTCGACCATAATCTTTCAGGGCTTTTACAAACCATATTTCATACTGGGTCATATTGGTATGAAGACTTATAGGAACGCACCTTGTCCTGAGTCCATTGTATGTATAATATATAATATAATATATATATATATAATATATATTTTTTATTATATATAATATGCATAATATTATGCATACAATGGACTCAGGACAAGGTGTTTCCTATCAGTCTTCCTACCAATATGACCAAGTTGCGAAAACAAGGTCAAACAACTTCTATACAACGGAAGGAGACTGCGACACCATCTTGGTCTTCATACTTCCATATTTCATACTGTTTATACAAAGTCTTATATATTGCATCTCATATTAATTAGGATTTTTATGACTTTTCCTTTTCCAGTGCACAGACTCAAGTATTTTGAGTCAATAATCTGCATTTTTTGCATGAATCTTTTACATAAAAATTACTTTTATTTGCTTACCCATATTGCATTGTACTCTATCTCTGTCAAATTAGGCTCGCCTCGTTCTCTTCGGCCCGGTTTTCAAGTTGCCGAACTGTTGTCTGCGCGACAGGCCTGGCTGAATTCTCTGCCGGTCGCCGCATGGGCTCTCAGTCCAGCTCGAACTTTTCGAGTTATGTCACGGCTGGCTAGTGACCACCAAAAGGCCTGGCTGCGCGCCGGCTGGGCAGCTCGGTCGTCACAGCACCGGATCACACCAACTGGCCCGCCATCATCGACACAGCCCAAAACACTGAGGACCAATGTTAGCTTATGCGAAGGGGTACAGCCTGACAGGGTTACGTGGGGAGGACTGGGTGGCAGGTTTCGACGGAGCAGTATCTTTTCAGGCCGACAGCAACAGAACTATTCACAAACGCCGAATGAGAGACAAGATGCGGGCCTGGGATGGTTGATGGAAAATGTTCTCATTTTCCAGCTGGGCGACCTCCAACTTTCGCGGGTTTTCTCGCTTCCAGCCACTAAGACGCATAGACCTCAGGTTGCCGACCCCAGTTGGGCAGGTACGTTGAGTGAGTCTGTCAAAGTGGGCACATTTACGAACTCGTGGGGCCTGACTTTTCCATTTGCTCTATCTTCCGGTCTTATTTGGAGGGCTATGTCGCCAGTCTATGGCAATTATGCTGCCCTGTCAGCCCATGAAATGTTCTGAGAGCTTTTCTAGCCAACTAAATCTGAACCGCTGAATCTATTAGTATAAACGTCCTTCAATTTGTAGACTGTCATGTAGACATCATCTACTACCGTTTCACGCTAGATCTATGTTATTTTGCCCCTTCGTTAAGTCTTCTTTGTATTCATCACTTTTTCACGGCAGATTTCGCTAAGGTAGGCTCTGATGGTCCCTTCTTCTGGAACAAAAACTCTGGATGCGTCGGAACCGAGGATGAACTAACGCCTCTCCTGAAACATTTGATTACATCCAACCGACTGCCGCCTGACCAGCCCTTGATGACGATTGACTTCACGGAGTATTACTTCTCTGGAGAACGAAATTCAACTAATCCGAGCAATAGCCACTCAGAGGAACCCAAGATGGCAGACAGTAAGTTGACTTTGAGATGCTGTCTTATCCTGTTTTGTTGCTCTTCTTGTGCTTCTGCATAAGTAGGTTTTCAAGACTACCAGGAGATGATTTATGTATGAATTGTATTCACCTTGCTTTCCCAACATGGTCATATTGGTAGGAAGACTTAGCGGAACGCACCTAGTCCGGAGTCCATTGTCTGCATGATCATTCCCAAAGTTGAACCGTGGGCGTGGTACATTCACAAACATTTCACCGGCATCGTCAGTGAGTATCGCCATTCTTAGCACCAGACAACAACTCGTCAAAAAAGACAAGTGAAGCCGATCCTTTGACCAAACTTGTTGATCGGAGTCAAAATATAAAACTATTCACTCTATTTCGTTTAAAGTGATACGGGGACTGGTAATTTAATATATATAATTAGACCTTACATTTTCATAGAGTTTCACATAACCTTGCTTTCTCCAAAGGTATTCACATCCAGGGTGGACAGCAGTTTCGGTGTCGCATGGGCTTTTCATTACCTCAAGAGGGATTCGAACCATGACGCTTCAGCATATAATCTCGACATGTCAACCACTACGCCCCATTGCAATGAGTGAAGTTCAAGGAAGGCCAGACTCACATTCAGTGTTGGTATTGTTGATGAAGCAAATATATATTTATCACATTAATCGACGACATTACTTATGTTTCGTTTTGAATAGATTCTCGAGAACACTACTCCTTCATCATATTAAACGAAATAGGGTGAACACAGCTCATATATCTCATTTGCTGGTTGTCTCGAAAACCTATTCAAAATGAAATATAAGTAATTTCGTCGATTTTCATAGCAAATATAGGTTAGCTTCATTGACATTCGTTGAAATTTTTGTCTGCCCTTTGACTCAACGGTACTTGTGGCAATGTGGCTTAGTGGTTAATGTGTCGAAGTTGCACATGGAACTGTCATGGTTCTTGTCCCGCTGGGGGTGTTGACAAGACCTAGGCGAGGTCTAAATTACAGTCCATCCTGGATACGAATACCTTTTGGGAGGCAAGGATATG